TAATTATTATATTATTATAATTATATTATATTATAATAGTGTTATTGTATATTATATTATATGTAAGGTCTCTAGTTAGGCACTTGGAAAGTGTCTCACCGGAATGACAGTTATATAATTCTGCATAAATTGTGTATATTTACATGTAAATTGTGTATATTTATATGTAAAGTCGTGTATGTTAGTTATAAAAAATGATAATGTATATTAATCCTCAAAACATGTATTTTTTATAGCAATTAGTGAACACATAACATGAAAATATGTATATTAGTTGATTTGTTATATTTCATGTTAAATATATACGATTTACATGTAAATATATACAATTTATGCAGAATTATACAACTGCCGTTCTGATAAGACACTTTCTAAATATCTGACCGGAGACAATTCCTATATTATATTATAAGATATAACTATTATATAATATATTTTAATTATATTATAATATTGAAAGATAATTATAAAAAAAAAATTAAAATGACTATTCATGTCATATGTGATGCATATGTGGTATGTCATGAATGAAGGATCATTATTAAATTTAGGCCTATTTAATTCATTCATTTAAATTTTTAATTTGAGTTGAGATTTAATTTTATATAAAAATTTTTTACTATAATAAAATTTAAATTGATAAAATAACAATGCCTCAAATTTCATTCCTTTTCCTTTTCTTTTCACCGACCAAACACACTGAGAAAAAGACGAATCAATACCAGAGGAATCAAATATGAAATACAGTGATAAGTGACGCGGAATGAAACTTTACAAGTAAAGAAACTTCCGGTCTCTCGTTTTCGTCCTCTTCAAGTAAAGAATCTTTACGACATCAGTCCCGCGAAAGGTCCTCCATTGATAGTAGAAACTTGGAAACACTTTCTCCGAGTCTAAGACCAACCACAGCTTTCACTTTCTAGGGGTTTTTCTGGTTTTCCTCGATAATCTTTTCCTGTCCATGCTTCGCTTCCTCTCGCTCTCTAGATCATCATCAATGGGTGAAGAAACAAGCCCGTTGGATTCTCTCCGTGTCAACTCAAGAACTTCTCCGGTGGTCGGCTCATCGCTAATTCCGATAATCAACAAGCTTCAAGACATTCTCGCTCCTGTTGGGAGGGAATTGACCAATATTTCCCTGCCGCAGGTGGCGGTTATCGGAAGCCAGAGCAGCGGCAAATCGAGCGTGCTCGAGGCCCTCGTCGGCCGCGATTTTCTCCCCCGAGGCTGCGATATATGTACGAGAAGACCGCTCGTCTTGATGCTAGAGAATCGGCCGGAGAAGCCCGGCGATGATGGAAAGGAATGGGGCGAGTTCCGTCACTTGCCTGGAAAGTGCTTCTACGATTTCTCCAAGATTCGCCGCGAAATCCAGGTTGCTTTTTTCATGATCTTGATAGTCTTCAGTATAACGAACAGTTTAGTTTTAAGTCATTTTGGTTGCTTAATCCGACCGTCTCTCAAGAATGGAACGTCTCGAAGGATGATTAAATGAGCAAATTTTAGTATATTTCTACGCTTCTTGAGAGTAGACAGTATGTGAAGAAGAGGACTGTGATTAGGAAGAGTAACGGTGCTTGAGAAGCACTGCTTAAACCTGAGAAAAAGAGGGTTTAAGAGATCAGGTTCTCATGCACTCTCATACAAAAATTTAAAAACGTATAGCTATAGTTCTTTGTGTTTATATTTTCACTGTTCTTTTGTAATCTACTACATTCAATATAGTCATTTGAGGTATGTTGTAATTAACTTTATGTAATTAACTTTATATTTTTAATGCTTTCCCTCAACGTTTTATATTTTCTAGCTATTGTAGGCTACCAAAAGTTTAAAGTGAACTGCACCTTATTTGTTTTTGAGACAGACAAAAATCTAATACTCCATAATAGATCTTTGTGATTGTGCAGCGTCTATTCACGTGTTTTCTGCATTTGTGTTTGATTGTTGCAGGCTGAGACTGAAAGAGGAGTAGGATTAAACAAACGGGTTTCAGATAAACAAATTTTCTTGAAGATTTCCTCTCCAAATGTACTTAATATGACCCTTGTTGATTTACCCGGCATTACTAAGGTTCCCGTTGGGGATCAACCCATTGACATAGAAGCAATGATTAGGAACATGATAATGGTCTATATTCAGCAAGAAAGCTGTATTATTTTGGCAGTTAGTCCTGCAAATTCCGATTTAGCAACTTCTGATGCACTTCAAATGGCTAGAGAAGCTGATCCAACTGGTAGGAACATGCTTCATGATTTGTTTTTTATGGTCACTAAATTCTATATACTTGGGTATATTTCCTTGTGGTTCTGTTGTGTTCTACCTGCTATCTTTGATGCACTAATGTGACTGCATAAACAGGTTATCGAACAATTGGTGTAATCACAAAGGTCTGTGTTTCTATTTCTGAAGAGTGATATATTTCTCTTGATTTAATTGTCAACCTGGTTTATGCTTGGTTTGCTGTGTGATTAACTATGTGGTTCCCCATGTAGCTTGACATAATGGACCGAGGAACTGATGCTCGTAACTTTTTGCTTGGGAAAGTTGTTCCACTTCGTCTTGGTTACATTGGTGTAGTCAGTCGGAGTCAAGAGGTAATTCCCTTTTCTAATGCCTTTAAATGGTTAGATTTATTAAACGCCACAAACAGTTTAGTTGTGAAAAGAGTGGTATCTTCCATTCAAAAAAAATTAATAAAGTGGTATCTTGAAACATCTGCATGTTTTTTTCTTACCGAATACCGATTGGTTATCTTTTGTTTTTGAAACATTGGAATCTTTGTGGCTGCCGTGTGCTGGTCTTGATATCCTATAAAGTATAATAAGTTATTCAATACTCCATGTAGCTAATTTTCGTGATTCGTTGTTTTGGGAGATCTAAGAATTTTTGCTATAGTTATGAACTAGTGAACAGTGATATCGTGAGGCCACTAAACACTACGACTGCATAATTTCTGAGCTAATTTAGATGCTCAGACATGGAGCTGGATAGGCGCCTTATGTGAAATACGCCTTTCGACGGTGCAGCGCCTCTATTCACGGTGGGAAGTAGGCAGATAATCTTTTTGGCAATTAAAATACATGAAGACCCCTGTTTCTTGCTAATAAAATTCCCATCACCACCGTTGAATGATTTAGGATGCTCAGATTTTCGCTCAAAGGGTTATCATTTATGACTTCGTTGTTGCTTATTTACGTACTAGACCATTCATGCATTTTTCGTGTCTGCTCTTTTTACTGTATTCATCTCTAGATCTGTAGCCAACGTGTTGAATGTTGGTTTCTTATGTCATGATATATTAACTTCTTATTTTTACTCTGCTTTGTGTTGCAGGATATTAATAATAATCGTAGTATTGCTGATGCTCTTTCTCATGAAGAGAAATTTTTCAACAATCATCCTGTACTATTCGCTTCCTTAAAATACTGTTCTGACTTGAAGATATTTTACATTTGTCTTCATTCTTAATTTTTATGCTCTTTTTATATGCCTTTCACGTTAAAGGTATATAGCAGTCTATCTGGTTGTTGTGGCATCCCCCAGTTAGGAAGGAAGCTTAATCAGGTTGGTTGAAGCCATTTCTTTGCCCACGTTGATTGTTGGATCCATATACAGGGAGCACCTTAGATTCCAGGTTTTGGGGCGCTCTTGTGTCTTATTTTGTCTCTTACTAGTTCACTTTATTTAAACCCTTGGCCGATTTTATGTGTCAGATTCTGGAACGGCATATCAGAACAGTTTTTCCAAGTTTGAAGTCCGAGCTGAATTCAGAAATATTTTCTGTTGGTAAAGGACTTCGGACATATGGAAGAGCTTTAGAACCGGATGTAAGTTGCACTTTTAATCCTACGAGTTTATACTATTCTCTCGCAGTCATGTAACTATCTGAGTGTATGTGAGTTGTCTTTTTGGCATTTTGCATGCGGTTGGCATGTTCTATTTTCACCCACCCACTGATTCTTTCCATTTGCATTCTTGCACGTGGATCTTGAATATGTGAGGTCACTGTAATTTGATTAATTTCATGTCCGTGTATGAAAACTGTAATTTGGACTTCTTCTACATTGGTAAATTGTGTTTCTTAGAGCTGTCTGCATATAATTGTTCATCTTTGTGCTATGTTGGGACAATTATGTCGGAGCTCATAATTTTTTTGTTGTTATTGCTTTGATCCTTAAACTTTTAGTTTGTATGCTTCACTACGTTGGTGAATATTTGGTCGAATTGAATTTTCTGCTTTTCCTATATATTGAGACATCCCACTTGCATAGGCCCTAGTTTTCTATTTTAACTTCCACCCCCCCTCCTTGGGGTTTGAGAACTGCTTCTGGAATTTTCCTTAGATTTTTATTTTCTCATGAACTAGGTGGAGAAAGGAGTAATTTTGTTGAACATTTTGTCAAAATATTGTGAAGGTGAGACACCATCCTATTATCTTGTAATCTTCCACATTATAACTTTTTTTCCCCCCTGCTTTCTAGTGGCTATTTATTTGAAATCTGTAAGACTTGCACTGAAGTCAAGTACTATATTTTACACACACTCTCTCTCTCCCTGCCTCCATTTTGAACTTTAATAGCCCTGTGCTCACTTCTGTCCCTTATGGTGACTTTTGTTTCTATTTTATCAAATTAACAGCTTTTTCTGCTATGTTGGATGGAAGGAGTCAGGACATAGCAACTACAGAATTGTTGGGGGGAGCCAGGATCCATTATATTTTTCAAACAACTTTTGTTAAGAGCTTGGAGGTACTGATTTAGTATTGTAACATCTTTTATTTATACATTTTTATTTTTTAAATGCTGAGTTCTTTTTTTTTGTTTTTTGTTTTTGGTGTAATTGTAGGAAGTTGACCCATGTGAGGATCTAACTGATGCTGATATTTGGATGGCTATTCAAAATGCTGTTGGTCTAAAGAATTCCTTATTTGTTCCAGAGGTGAGTTTGAGAGGATAATGACATATGGTCAAGTTTCATCGTCCATTTTCCTTGTTAAAAAAAAGAAAGAAAACAAAAAAAGAAAATAAAAACCGGTTGGATGACGTTCTCACCGTTTTTGCATTTCATGTTCCATTCGAAGTTCTGTTTTTGCATTTCAGGTCCCATTTGAAGTTCTGGTTAAAAGACAGATTGCTATGTTGTTGGAACCTAGCCTTCAGTGTCTCCGATATGTTTATGATGAACTGCTTAAGGTGAAATGCTTCATTGTTTATTTTGTAACAAAATTGGAAGATCTGATTATAAACTCTTTTCTTGCAGATTAGCCGTGCTTGTGAAGCAGCTGACTTGCAATCGTTTCCAGTATTGAGAAGGCGCATGGATGATATAATGGGAAAATTTTTGCGTGATGGTCTAAAGCCTGCTGAGAACATGATAGAAAATCTTATCGAGATGGAGGTAGCTTTTATTTTCTAAACAATCTAGTTTGTAAATTCTTTTAGCATTGAATAAGGGTTATGTATCTAACATATCTACGAATTTGGTTTTTAAAAAATATCACCTTTTTTAAAGAGCTTACTGCCTAAAACAAGTGGGAATCAGGGTATTTGGGGATCGAAAAGCTTAGGGGAGGGGTTAGTCTAGATTTTTTTGGTTGTCTTTGTTTTCTCCACCGACGGTGGCTGGGAGTTCTGGAGTACTCGAAATCTCCGGGTTTATCTTGTTTTCAGTTGTTTAGTATAAGCCTCGTTGCTGGTTGATTCAATAAAAGTTTCCCAGATTCCTTTAAAATTCTCTTGTTGTGCATCTGTGTGTGTGAGTGTTGTGTGATTGGATGAGAATTACCAGGTTCCTTACAAACTGGTATCAGAGCACTACGATCCATGGCGCCCAAACCAGCTGAGACAAAGAGGCTGGTCGCATCGGAGAAAGGTTTGACGGCGGTGCAAGAGGTGGTTCATGCCTTGACATCCGAACAGATCCCGCAGATCTGGGAGGAAATCGGAGGACTGAGAGATGAGGTGTGAAATCAGATCGGAGCGGTCCACGAGGTGTTGCGCCTGCTGTAAGAGCTCATGGGTCGCCGACTAGCTCCGCTGGAGGCCGCTTCGGAGCATGGGGAAGTGGTGCAGTGCGATGCGAACCGCAATGGCACGAATTGAGGCGATTCGCGACGGGGAGGTCTGATTGGCGCTGACCCAGCCGCAGACGAGGTTGCGCCGCCACCAGGGGGGGTCCGGAGGTCGGGCGTCGGCTGCGTTAGGCGGTGGTTGTGGCCGGAAGGGGCTTGGATGAGAGAGAGAGACGGCGGGGACTTGTTTGGCCGCCGGATCTGGGTTGGGAAAATCAAGCCAATCTGACCAGGGAGGCTCCGAGGGGGAGAGGTGGACACCCAAACCGGGAGCCCAGCCTTGATCGGGGTCCAATGGGAGTGTGACAGGGCAATCACCACGAGACGACCCCGAAGAGGCTAGTAACGGCAGCAGAGTTGGCTAGGGACATGGAGCCGAGATGGGGGTTTTTGGGAGGAGAACGAGGGGGAGCATAGGCAGCCAATGGGAGACCAGCAATGGGATGTGGAACGGGGACATCAACTTGAGACGCCGGAAGGTCGGGGAAGAGGAGAAATCTGTGGAAGGAGGGTGGAGATGCCGAGTTTTTCCTGCGAAGATCTATATGGATGGCTATTCCGGGCTGAACAGTATTTCGATATGTATGAGGTATGGGAACAGGATAAAGTGTCTGTGGCTTCGATGTGTATGGAAGGGCGAGCTTTGAACTGGTTTAGGTGGACTGATTCCTAAGATCCGTTCAGGGAATGGTGGGACTTGAAGGCATCAATCTTGAATCGGTTTAGTAGAGCTAAAGAGGGTGATCTGATGGAGAGACTCATGGCCTTGAGGCAAATAGGGTCGGTGGCGGATTACTTAGTGGGTGTTTGGTATGAGGATTCGTGTCATGGTTTGAATCATGGTTCGTGGCTCGCTACGTATTTTCTCTCACAAAAAACACGTAAACCAAGCATGGTTATGAATTATGGTTCTGAATCCGTGAACCAAACGTCCACTTAGACCGCTTTGAGCTGCTGTCAGCGTGGGTGCGGGGAATGCCGAGCGCATTCTACAAGGGAGTATT